GCAGCTTGGTGCTCAAGCCCAGTTTTAGTATCAAGCTTTGCTATTTTTAAAAATTATTTGGAAGTTTCAGCAGTTTTGGATGAACTCAGGCCATGTACTCTGGTCTGTGCCTGTCCCTGAGCTGCAGAGCAACCCCCAAGGTCCAGTCCTCGGTCCCGAGATAACACGGGGAAAAGAGTCCTTTATCAGCAAAGAGCTGCTTCCCTCCATGTGATTTTTGGGCCAAATCAGGACCAAAAGTCCTGGATTTTCAAGCAGGGTTGGGAGACCCCTGCCCTCAGTGGGAAGGGTCTCTTGCTCCCAAGTCTTTGGGACATTAGACGGAGGAACCTGGAGTTTGGTGGCAGTTTGTCATGAGGGATGCAGCACAGGGGATGGAAGCAGGTGACAGCCACACGACTTCCAGCCCTCTCTTCCCTCCTCTTCTCCAGGGTCCCGAAGCAGCTCCCTTTGACCACTGCGATGCAAACACCCTCTGCTCCCATCTGCTACTCGCTGAGGTTAACGCCCTTTACATTAAGCTGCCTTGAATAAAAATAAACTCTGCTGCTGTGCTTTATCACGAAAGCATAAAGCTGAAGCAGTGAGATCTCAGTTAACCATTAACACTTAAAACTGATTATTTTTCCATCTCTCCAGCCAACAGCTTCAAATAAATCCATTAGTGAATTAAACCTGTGCAGCACTGGGTACCAGCGCTGGTTTGCTGGCTTATCGCGGACCTCTCCCTCCTGCTTCTGTGATAGTTCCTGGCAGGACACAGAAGCTGACTTTCCAACTTTCCTTACAACCATCAATTTTCATTAGTCGTGTGGCAACGGGGCTGCCTGCTCACCGCAGCTCTGTGCTGAGTGCTTTGCGATGGGCTGTCTAAGCTGTTTGCCCTCTTCTCTGCCGGGATCCAGAAGATGGTAATTATCTCATGGAGATCATTGTCTGTGCTGCCTCTTAATGGTCTGATGTGGTTTGAGCTCTATTCTGTTACATGCTGGAAACACATTTAAATTGGTCTTCAAACAGCAAAAAAACTTTTGTTTTTCTATGGGCGCGGTCCTGTAAGGTTTAATGTTCAATTCCCGATGGCAATGACGTCTGAATTGTTGCTCCTTGGCATTGTTAAGATGCAAACTTTCCCCTTTTAAAGCAATCTTCTTGACCTGCCTTCTTGGTTCATGAGTCTGGGGCTTTAGCATCCTGATATTGTCTAGGAATCTGCTGCAGGCAAGTTTATCTCAAAGCTGTATCCCAAATATTTACCTGCTAAATGCTGGAGGCACTGGACAGCCAGGCATTTACAGACTGCGTGCTCATCCTCAAGATCAATACGAAGCTGAGGCTTTTCATATCCATGGGATATTCCAGTTGTATGCACCTGGCTTTGAAGAAAAATTTCTCATGTAAATGAATTGGTCAGAGTTGGCACAAAATGGTGTGGAAAAGTTGGTGTCATACATTTTAGCTTATAAGTATTTTTGACAGGGACAGAGGGGATTTCATGGGGTTTTGGATGCAGCAGGTTGGTTTTTCCCCCCCTGTCCTCAAAGTCTACTTACGTGTGGCAGTAGCTTTCTAAAAATAGCTGGTTGAGACAATTCTGTTTGTTTTCTTTTAGTCTAAACCAAAACATAAATGTTTAATGTTTAAAAACCAAACAAACTGAAAACAAACGGGGGGAGGGAAAAAAAAACCAAAACAAACAAATCAAACCAAAAAACTTCCAAGCTTGTTCTAATGAACATTTTAGTGTCTGGATCAAAATGTAGACTCAAGCTTTCCCGAGGTCTGTTCGGTAGGACTGACCTCCCCACCAACCCAGGCTGCAGACGTTCATAAACATCTAATCTGGGGACAGGAGGCTCGGATGCTGGTTGCTGGGTGGTACAGGGGGCACAGAGAAGGACACCCCACGCAGCCCCCATAGCTTTTAACCCAGAGATAAGGTCAGAAGGCTCAGACCCTGCTGAGCCTGTGCTCCGTGCAGCTCTGTCTGTCCCGTATGGACCAACAGCCATCCACCGCCCTGACCTCCCTCCCCGAACTGCTTTCAGTCTGTGACGAGCACTCGGACTACAAGGATGCCAAGCTGTTGTACCGCTTCCGCAAGGACGATGGGACCTTCCCTCTCAGCAAGGACGTGAAGGTGTTCGTGAGAGGGCAGAGCCTTTATGAGAAGTACGTGAGTCCTCCCCCTGCAAAACACCCCTCAGCAAGTGGGTCCGCTGGCTGCGCTTGCGGAGGATGCTCTACAGCTGGGACCACGGCTGCAGCAGGCTTTTCCTTCGCTTTATCCCATGCTGTGGAATTGGGAAATGCTGTTTCCTGAGCCCTGTCGCAGCCGCAGGACAACCTCTTTGGGGCTGGGACAGGGGCTGTGCTCTGAACCTGTGGATGCTTTCGAGGGCTCCCACCCAAGTGCAGGTTCTGGGATCTGGTACGGGGAGGTGTTGGGGTCCAGCCAGCAAATTGAGTGCTTCTGGGGGGGGGGACAGCCAGTGGCCCTTCCCAGCACTCCCCCAGCCTCCCTGGGTGAGCTGCTTCCACCAGCACTATTAGGTATATATTATATATATATACACACACATACCTATGTGTATATATATATAGGTATATAGGTATGTGTGTATATATACTCACCTATTAGCACATATATATGTCCCACCAAAATCATCAGGGTACAGGATCTTTGGGACCCTCTTAGACCTGGATCCCTGCACCTTGCTTAGCCTACTTGCAAAATTTGTAATAGAAAAATTAATTTTCAGATAGTAAAGAAAATTCCTTCCACCTCCAAGTGTTTAGTTTTCTTTGTTGTTTGCTGGTTGTTTCTGGTTCTAAATCCAAGACATCTTCCCAGATATCTCAAAAATCTTTTTGTTAGATGGGGTTGAAGCACAGACCACCTTCTGGACCTGTTTCCTTTAACAGCCTCTTCACATCCTCTCCATCCCTGGCAGTCAGATTCACAGACTGGCACTGAGGGAGAAGTCCTTTGGCCGGGAGGGCGGTGATTTCGGGTGTCTCCCCTGCATCCCTTCTCCTTTGCTTTTGCTCTGGGACCGGGCAGAGCATCCAGCGCATCTCACGGCCGAGCCCGCTGCACCCTCTCGTGGAGGCACTGGATTTAGCTCTCGCACATGCTGCAAACTGAACATATGTGTTTGCTGAAATACACTTTCTCCGTCAGTTTGGACTATCTGCCGCTTGTCGCCTGCATTTGGTTGCTTGCTTGGCTTTCCCCTGCAGTCTTTAGCCAAGGTTGCAGCTGAACTGATTCTGCTGAAGCTGCTTTCTCTACCACGATGAAGATATACTGAGCTGCCCGGCTGCAGCTCTGCATTTTTCCCTCCCTTCCCGCTGCTCCCAGGCAGCGATGTTTTGGCTGCGATGCTTTGCCCTCTTCTCTTGTCCTTGCTTGGGCGGGCTGCAGCTCCCGCGTGGGACGGCAGGGTTATGGGGCATCACGGGAGCCCTGTCCCACCTCTGTGCCAGGCTGGTGAGCACGGAAGAGTCCATCCTGAAGGTGAGAGAGGAGAATTCGGTGAAATACCAGAGGACTTTCCTGGGCTGCGAGATGGTCGACTGGCTCGTTCAGGAGGGAGAAGCAGAGAACCGAAAGGAAGCGGTGGAGCTGGGCCGGGCGCTGCTGGAGCACGGGATCATTCAGCATGGTGAGCGAGGGTCCGGATGGAGCCGGGGTGGAAAGCAAGAGATGAGCGTGGTTGTCAAGGCTGGGCTAGGAACTATTCCCCATTCATGTCGTGCAACAAGTGCTGGTCAAGTGCCCACTTGGAGATGGCAATGGGGCCTTTTAGTTCTATGTTTGGAGCTGGTGACCTTTGAAATCGGAGCAACCTTCCACCACCCACAAAGGCTTTGCTTTGAGCTGAAATCTGAGCTGTTGCTCTTCAGTTCTTCAAAGCCTCCGGCTGCAGGGCTGGGATCCACCCCTGGGCTGGGAGAGCTGGATTGGGAGGGTGTTGTGTTCAGCTCCGCTTGGCTGGAGATCGCAACCATCTGCAGGAATTAAACTTTCAAATCAGAAAGCAGGGTGTCCTCTGAGTGTCTTGGGACAGGGACAGTGTGTTTGTGACTCGATGGTGCACCCCTGGGAGATGGCATCCCTTGGGGAGGTGGCCCTGCTGTTCCACCTTCCCTGCAGGTAGCACTCTCAAACAGTCAGAAAAACTGCAGTAGAACACAAAGGCATTAAAAACTATTCATCTGGGTCCCTCAGTATATTTGCTATATTTTTTTTTTGCAGCCCCTCAGCATCTCCCTCCTCCCCTGTTCTCTCCCAGTCTCCAACAGGCATCACTTCTTTGACAGTGACATCCTCTACCAATTCTGGACCAACTTTCGACGGAGGCGCCGTCTCACAGAGTTACTCAACGAGAACTCTTCTCGCTCCCTGTCCGAGAGCCCAGACAGCCCCTTCTGCCTTCGCAAGCTCAACCCGGACCCAGGCAACACCAGCTTTCTCTCTGGTAACCGGGGATGGATTTCTGGAGGGGTGTGAAAGCAAGACTTGTGACACCAGAGCATCCCAGAGCTGAGGGTGTTCCTCCAGGCATCCCATGAAGTAACCACCCATCCCACTGGTTTGTGGTGGATGTCACCAGGCGGTGACAGCTCCTCATCTCAGGAAAGTAACTTAACTTACCATCAGCTCAGCGCTTGATCTTTGTTTGAAGCTAGTTTTATTATTATTATTTATTTTTTTATTCTTTCTAAGCTCCAATGCCACCTTTAGTGCATGCTTACCTTTCAGATGTGGGTCGGGCTTCTTGGGGGAAGTTTATTATTTTAAAATAGTCTGTTCCTTCCTGGGGTTAATTGTTATTTCTGTCTCTTTCAGTCCAGACCAACAAGGAGATCAAAATTGTCTCAGCGGTTCGAAGGAGCAGCATCACTTCCCTCTCTGGAAACTCCAACCCCTACTTCAGCCCTACTCCGATGCTGGTGTTCCCACCCGTGGCCGAGTGCAACCCCAAATCAGGTCTGGGCTCCTGCATTGCTTCCGAGGGTCAGCCTCGCCTCTGGGGCTTGGTTTGAAAAGTTGTGCAAGTGTTTTGAAGAACACTGGGGGGAATGCCAAGATTTCTGTGTGCAGTAACCGTGGCTGGTTCTCACGTCTGTTCTGCAGCCCATGGGAATCCCCAGGCTGCCTCGTTATGCTCTTTGCTGTATGAAACCCTCGATTCTGATAGGATCTGTCACCTTCTGCTCTAGTGTTGAAGAGACCTGTCACCAATGAAGAGCTCCTGTCCCCTGGGGCTCCCTATGTCAAGAAAACGCTCACCGTAAGTGACCGCAGGGAATGATTGCTGATCCAACAGCCCTGAGCTCTCTGGCTGCTCTCTGTCTGCCGCTCTGACCTCTGTGTGTTGAAACTTCCATTACATGTCACATCATCACGGCTCTTTCTTAGTGGGTCAGTGGCTTCAGATGTTCTTGTGGGTGCAGATGTGCACAGCCTCTGTTTAATGTGTATCAAAGGGGTAGATAAGGAAAGAGAACGTTTCATGGACAGAAAAACTCCCCTTTATGTTTCATCCAGCTCTATACAAACTGTAGAATTGGTAAATCTTGTGACAGCTGAGACGTTGACACTGCCCTGGTGTGTCACATGGATTTGTGCACGGCTTTATCCATCTTTCGGGTTCCTGCTGCAGCTCAGACCTTGATGTGATCCATCAGCATCCCATGGAGCAGCACTAACCGGGGACCATCTGAGGGCCACTCTTGCTCTTCTTACGATGGGCTTCTTCCATGCACAAAATAAACCCACTGCAAAATCCCCAGGGTGCTGCAGGCAACCTGAGTTTTGAGCTTTTGCTTTTCTAATTATTGCTAAAGCTGTAGGACCGGTCAAGGCAGGGCTGGCGGGTGCTGGGTGTGAGTGCTGCAAGACTTTTCCTGCCCTGCAGATCCTATTGTGCTTGTTTATTTTTGTGTAAAACTTCTCAGCCCTTTTCTGCCCACCTTTGAGATGGGGAATCTCACGGTGGCCGGTTTAGGAAGCGTGAGGGCTGTCTGGCCATACTGGTTTGACACAAGGGGGGGTTAAAGAAGAGCTGTGGATCGGGTTCTCAGGTTAACTGCACTGTAGAAATTGCTGGGAAGGAGCAAGAAAAATAAACCCGGTGATTAGTGTGGCATGTATAAGGACGTGCTGTTCATTCTCCTCCTGAATGCTCTTGCCCTGCCCTTCAACTCTGCCAGCCTGGGCCTTTCACGGCTCGTTTCCTTCTGCTTAGCTGTGCAGTTGCTGCTATTTATTTATATGGGTAATGTGCAAAGTCCTTTGGGAATTCCTTTTCTCTTTTAGACGCATCAGATGGCCGCAGTATGACAGCAAGCTGCTGTGACAGGCTGAGATCAGTGGGAAAAGCTGAGAGTGGCTATTCCAGCCTGGAAACGCTCTTCTGTGCCAGCGGAAAGGCACCACGTTCCTGCTCTGGAAACGTTCTCAACACGCTCTTGGTGCATGCCTTCACTGCAACTTCATGCTGCCTGTGCTTCACTCTTCTGCACTTGCTGGCAGGGAATGTTAATCAGAACGCAGCTTTGCAGAGAGCAATTCATCTGTCGTTCTGCGTCTCACCTGGTGCTCAGCCCTTTCTCTCCCACCCTGGCAGAGCTCTCCACCTCACTAGGAGCTGTTGCATCTCCTCTATCCAGCCCGTTCCTTGGTTTTTAAACCCCTTTTGTTCTGCTTGTAGATTGTGGGGGATGCAGTGGGCTGGGGGTTCGTGGTCCGAGGAGGAAGACCTTGCCACATCCAGGCAGTGGACCCAGGAGGACCCGCTGCAGCTGCAGGGATGAAGGTACTTCTCACTCGTGGTGATTGAACAGGAGGCAGTGCTGCTGTCCTGCTTGAGCTTTTTGGGCTGAACATATCCTTGGTGATAATCCCCCCTCCTGCCGTGGGGATCAGCCCGACGGGGGGATCAGCCCGGTGGAGCTGGCACAGGCAGCGGTGGCAGGATGGAGAGGCGGAGGGCAGGATGGAGAGGCGGAGGGCAGGATGCTGTCTGCAGGCGGAGGGCAGGATGGAGAGGCGGAGGGCAGGATGCTGTCTGCAGGCGGAGGGCAGGATGCTGTCTGCAGGCGGAGGGCAGGATGCTGTCTGCAGGCGGAGGGCAGGATGCTGTCTGCAGGCAAACTGCAGCGTGTGTGGCTGCACAGCAGCGGATTTGCCTTTTCCACGGGCAGCAGAGGGGCTGTGGGCGGCTAAAAACATAAAACAAAACTCTGTCAAGTCTAAGCTGTACCTGGGGTAGACTTTGGAGTTGTTGAAACTCTGTTTGAGCTACTAAAAACAAAGCAGAGAATTCCCAGTTCAGCTCCAGTAACTGTATATGACCCCAGTGAAGCAGGCAGGGGCAGAGCTTTATCCTGAATCACTTGTTCTTACAGCTCCTGAGATGTAACACATTTTGTGTTTCTCTGCTGTTGACAATGTAGTTCTGCATGGAACTATTTTCCATGTGCATGAAAGCTTAATAACCTTAGACAGATGCCTTGATTTGATTCATCCAGTAACTTCCAGTATTCCCAGCTCAGGTGAAATGAACTGATGTCTTGAAACTCATTCCAGACCCAGCCATGCCTGGGGTTTGTGTGTGGAGTTTTAGGTGTGAATGAAAGAAATGTTGAGTTTCACAGTTCCCTGCAAAACCCCAGCAGCAAGGGAGTAATTTCCACAAGCTGATTTAAGTCTAAAGTCACAGGGATAATTGAAATAATGGGATGCTTCAGAGGCAGACTCTGACTCCGTGTTTGCTTCAGGCAGGATTGGAAGGGGATGGATGAATTTGTTTCATTTACTCGAGAGCCCAGTTAATTTCTCCTTACCTAATCTCATTTGCTACCAAATTGCTAGGTGTTAATATTGTGCCTCACTTCCATCTCTGAAACGAACCACTGCTCATAAATGAGTCTTTTTTTTCTCTGTTAGCTCACAGTCTAAATCCCTTTGGTCCCTTTTTTATGACACAGTGATCACAGCACACTGGTTATTAGTGTAGCTTACAGAGTGGTAATGCTTTAGGGTTTGCAGGGTTTTGCAGCAAGTTATTTGTGTTGCAGCCTCTGGCTCTGGTCAGTCCTGGGCAGAAGTTGCCATGAAGACATCGGCCGAAGGTAACCTGCCCTTCCTCTCCTTGCAGGTGTGCCAGTTTGTTTTCTCAGTGAATGGGATGTACGTTCTGCACCTGGACTATCAGACCATCAGCAGCCTCATCATGACAGGACCACGAACCCTCGTGATGGAAGTGATGGAAGCCATTGAATGAGCCAAGGAGCCTCATCCCGCTGGTGTCTGGAAAGGCAGGACACTGCCAAGCCAGGATGGACCATGGGGAGGGACCAAGTTTGACCTTTCACTCTGACATGCTAGCCAGGCATTTTAATATATTTTCAAATAAATACATTCCAATGGACAAGTCTTGGATTTTGATGGTGTTGAGATATTTGGCTTCACCCGAGCTTGGGTGGGTCCAGACTCTTGCAGCTCCTTTTTAATGCTAGTGGGAGAGTTTAGCACATCAGAAAAACAAACCTTAGAACATGAAACCAAACTTTAGAACATGAAAGCCAGGCTCAGACCAAGCATTCCCCCAGCCAGGCTGCAAGGCAGGGGGTACAGGCTGGTAAGCAGCAAGAGGTTTGGTACCAAGTGAGCACGTCTGAGCTCCCCTGAGTTGTCTGTGCAGTCTACCAGGAATGCAACGTCCTTTCCAGATGGCTCAATAAGCCGTGCCATCAGCTCTGTCAAAAAAATAAGGAAATGAACACAGTGATGCGTGCTTCCTTGTAAAGAAAGTCTGAGGCTCCTGCTACCCCCTTGGCTTAGCCACGCTCACAGCCAGGACTGGGTGCTCTTCCCAGTTTTTTGAAATGTTTCTTGCATTTCTTGAACAGGTGAGACTTCCCTGATGATGCTTTTTGTGCCCCCACCCCCTAATAATGGCTAAATTCATTAACCAGCTTCCTCTTGACACGGAGCCAGGCAGAGGTCCCAGAGGTCACAGGCTGCTGCCAGCCCAGTGATGGGAGCAGTGGGGGAAAGGAGAGACCCTGAATGGTGTCTGCCCGAAGGGAAACGTGTCATAGGCTGAGTTTGAATCTGGGAGGGAACAGGAATGAGTTGAAACCCACCAAAATCCAGCTCCCCTGGGCCCTGCTCCTCCCAGGATGACTGCATTTGCAGGCAATGTGGAATATTCATATGTGGACTACCCCGAAAGTGAATGAAATACAGAATAACAGGTAATAACAAGGAACTGGGGAGGTTTCTTGCTTTCCGGTTCACCAAGCATCCTGCTCATGATGAGCCTGCAATGCTCTGTGTACAGCAGGAGAATTTCCAGCGCTCCTGCTTGGGGCGGGTCCCTCAGAGCAGTGATTTTGGCCACCAACCAAGTCTTAAAAAAAACCACCAAAATCAAAAAACAAAAAGAGATCATTTTGATTTGTGTTAAAGTGGGAGCTGACTTTCTTGGAAAATCTGGCGTCAGCTGTATGTTAGGTATTGCATTACCGCTGGCTGCCTCTTTTCTTTTTTTTCTTTTTTTTTTTTTTTCCCTTGGTATAAAGGGATCTATGCTCCCCCAGCGCTGGTGCAGAGGTAATGGGACTACTTGGAGCGCAGCGTTGCTGGAACATGGTCCAAGTGAGATGTTTGCATCAATAATGCATTGGGGTCCTTCCAGCCCCTAAGTGAAAGCAGACAATCCTTTAAGCCATTTGTCAATATGCTCACAGTTGTTGTTTCTGGCCATTCAGTGCTCAAGCAGAGCAGCATCCCTCTGCCTTTTGGCTTTTTAAATGCTGGTATGAGTTGCTGTTTAGGGAGGGCTTGGGTGTCTGTGATGGACCCAAGGTTTAATCCAGAGTGTTGGGCTTGAGCTCAAGCTGGACAAAGCCAGGAGACTCCAGCATTGTGTGGGCACCTCGGGAAAGGGAGAGCACAAAGCCACAACCTGAACACAAGCACTGGAAGCAGCTCTGGATTTTCCTGACTTAAACAGCACAGATTTTAGCTCTGGGTCTGAACTTCCCTGAAAGTGAAGTGCAGGAGGTCTGTGCTCTTTCTCACCTCCTCCTAGTTTTAACTGGAGCAAATCTGAGCAACTAGTAAAATCCAGTGGGAATTATAGGAGAAGTAATTTGGGCTATCTGCACGTAGTGCAGTGACATCCCTCTCTCCACAGGCTACCAAATGTGCCGTGTTTTGTTTTAATAAGATTTAAGTGCTTCATTTTGGTATTATCCTTTGCTCTGTATATTGAGATGCTTTGAAATCCTTGCTAGATTGTAAAGCAAAACTGCAATGAACTACAAAATGTTTGCTTAGTGTGCAAAATATTTTAAAACTATTTTTTTTCCATCTAACCTGACACTTTCAAAGGTGCCTGTGTTTCCCATAGAGCAGCAATAGTGATTTTTTTTACACCTTGCTCCGCTGCAACAGGAGAATGATGCTGACAGTCCCCGGAGATGCAGCTGAAAGTCTGGCTTCCATTTGCAATGAGAAATGCCACTGTCAGTTGTTCCATTCCTGGCAATGAGGACAAAATCTGAGAAAGTTTTGATGTGGAGCTGGGCGGCTCTCCCGGGCACTCCCGGGGCTGGGGACCACATACCGGCGGAGGTCAGGGCTGCAGCATCCCACAGCTGGGAAGTCTGCAGCACCAGCAAGCTCCAGTTCATGATTCAGCCTCTGGCCTTGCGAAACTTCCAGATGTGCTTAATTTCCTTAAACAAATGCCATGTGATTTGTGCAAAAGCTGGGCTCTCAAAAATCCGTAATGGGATGTGCATGGGGCCGGAGTGACTTCATCCCTGGGAGGCTGACAGTGGGCGGGAGCCACGACTTGTTGCAGCGCTCTAGGAAATCAGCGTGCAGCTTCCTAGATGTGAATTTAGCATTTAGTTAGCAAAACCACTCAAAGCCCTTCACTGGTTTTCATAGAAACAGGTTCTTCTTTCTGTGCATGCTCTTTTCAGCTGCACGTCGGGGCCGAGCAACGTGCGAGAGGGAGGTGGGGGAATCGCCGTCCCTCTCCCCCTGCTCTCCCTCCCCTTCCTCATCCCTCCTGACGTCTGGGGATTGAAATTTCTGATCACGCCGAGGAGCAGGCGAGGCGCCGGGGCTCGTCTCCCACCATTTAAGCATGTAGCTGGATTCGTCGCGCGTCCCGCCTGCCTCCAGGGAAAGCTGCGCTGCTCCAGAGGTCTGTGGCTTTGGGGTTCGGTTTGCAGGGATGCCCAGGAGGGGTTTTTTTGGGGTGTTGGCAGAGCAGGGAACTTCTACGGGGTTTTGCTCCCTGGGAAATTTGGAGCTGGTGCAGCTCAGCTTGGGGCAGCACTTCCTTGCATGGGGAAGTAGCTCCAAGGCTCATGTTTGCTGCAGGTCATGTCTGGATGTTGCCAGGACTGCTTTATCAGCTCTTTTGGAGCGATGGCTGTGGAAATGCGCTTTTTTTGTTCGTTGTTTTTTTGTTGGTTGGTATTTTTTTGGTTGTTTTGGGGTTTTTTAATGTAACTTATTTTTTTATAGTAAATAGTATAAAACCTGTGGGAAATTGCTGCCAAGGAGGACAGTAGTGGGAAGGGTTTGTTGGCCATGGCAGTTGTCTGGGGGGGTTTTTCCCACCTGGAGGTGTGGTGTGGGTCTGCACCAAGCTGATGTTCCTGACCCCGCCTGGGCTGCGGGGAGCTGCAGTGGCTCAGCCTAGAAGCGAAACTTGTGCTTCACTTTTTTGAGACTGGCGCTGGGATAATTGAGACTTTTTGTTCAGCAGCGGAACTGAAACATGGGAGATTTCCAGGAGAGAACAGAAAGGGTCTGATGAATGCGGGTTTTTTAGTCTGTTTTAGGTCCTTTAACCAGCAAAGCACTCGGGGAGCGTTGGGCAGATTTTGTCCCTGCGGCTGCCCCGGGCAGGTCCTGGGCTCACCGCGGGGCTGTCGCTGTCACTGCTTGTGGGTCCGGCAGCGAGTGGGCCAGGAGGTGACATTGCTTCTGCAGAGATGGAAATGTCCCCAAACTGCAGCTGTGGAGGGGGGGAATAATTCACAGTGCCCCCAGATCAATGCCTTTTGGTTGTGTCGATGTAAACATGTGGCAGGGATTTATTTTTTTGCATATAATTCATTTTTTTTTATTTATTAAAATGACTACATTTATAATTTCCTACACAAATAAGGGGATGTCCGACTGCCTTAACCTCCAAATCCCCTCTGCGCACACAGCTGGGACCGGCGGGAAGCGGTGTGTCCCCCCCACACCCATTTTCCAGGCCCTGGAAATGCCACATGCTCCATGTGTCCCTGTCTGCAAATTCCTTCCCTGGGTGAGTAACAGGAGAGAGGCATCGGCGTGCCAGAGACAGGCTGGTGTCACCGTGATCCCCTCTGTCCCAGGGTCTAGCCTGCAGATGTGGGTGGTAGGGACCATGGGGACCCTGTGGGGACTTGGGGTCTACAGAGATGGAGCTCTGCAGGGTGGGGAAGAGAGAGCTCCTCCAGCCATGAATTTCCGACCATTTCAATGAGGTGCATTCATTATTCTGGCTTTATAGGTAGGAACATGAAAGATGGGGAAGAGGCAAAATAGTGATGGGTTTGCATCTGAGCTGGGAGGAAGAGACGATCCCTGCTCCTTGCTTTAGTCACGGTAAAGATCCACACCCTGGGGACTTACTTGACTTTTCTTGAGGTGCCAGTCAGATTCCTGATCCTATAAAATGTTTGTTGGTTTTTATAAGCAATGACTTCATTTTATTAGCTGGGGGAAAAAAAAAAAAAAAAGCATTTCCCATGGCAAGGGCTTCAGTTACACTGCAGTTGTTCGTATAACCTGATCTTCAATCAGAAAAAAAAAAATAATCGCAGGCTGAGTAGGGTGGTTAACGTCTCCCTGTTATAACTTGCATGTTTTTCCATTCATTCTTACAGCAATTTAGGGCTGATTTAAACCCCAGGAGATCATAGCTGGGTCACTCATGTGCATATTTATTTTTCCTTGTGATCACTAAAAAGCTGACGTATTTGAGGGGAAACAGGCATTTGCCAGGAGCCTCTAAATACCTGCCCGTCAAAATGAACAGAGGTGAAATGTCCCTGCAGACGGCGGTGGAGGAAACGTGTGTGTGGGGTGGTTCTGCCAAAAGCAATAAGGCTGAAACGTGCAGCACAAAAATGACGGATGCCAACGATGCGTTGCAAAAGGCCAACAGCATGTTTTAAACCCGGTATATTGAGACTGAGGGAAGGGGGAAGCACTGTTCCCATCAGGGTGGGTTTATGCTGAGCTGACATTTCTGACCCAAATGGAATAAAACTGCAATCCAGCCCAGCAC